GTGGAACATAGTGTTTCCCTTTTAAAGAAAGATTGTTTATTTAATAAGAATTCCTCAAAATGGTATGTATGACTGGATCCAAGACTTATAATCATCTTTATGTTCTTGATGTATACCACTAAGTTGCTTTTAGAATAAAACCTATGACTCTACTTCTTTCAATCAAACAATAAGCAAAAAATCAAAAACAAAACTAACTAAACCAACTGCCATCAAGTAGATTCCAACCCATGGCGACCCTCTATAGCAGCGGTTCTCAACCTGGGGTTGCCGGTTGATAACAGTAGCAGAATGACAGTGATGAAGTAGCAGTGAAAATAATTTTATGGTTGGGGGGGCCACCACCACATGAGGAACTGTATGAAAGGGTCGCGGCATGAGGAAGGTTGAGAACCACTGCTCTGTAGGATTTCTCAGGCAGTAAATCTTTATGGGAGCAGAAAGTCTCATCTCTTTCCAGAGAAAAGGAGCGGCTAGTGGGTTTGAACTGCCAGCCTTGCAATCAGAGTTCCTTAAAAACCAAACAATTTGCCTCAAGGAGGAAAGAGTTTCTGCCTTGAGCATTGTGCTCTTTTAAAGAACTTAACTCAAAAGCTCACTGCCATCAAGTTGATGCCGACCCTATAGGTCAGGGCAGAGCTGCCCCTGTGGATTATCCAAGACTGTAACTCTTTACAGGAGTAGAAAGCCTTGCCTTCCTCCTGCTTTAAGGAACCATCTCCAGGAAATCAAAATCGACAAGGGCAACTCGAAAGGTTAGATGAGAAACCTCGGGGGCGGGGGTGGGTGGGGTGGGGGTGCATTCACTTCAAAGGCTGAAGAAGGATTTGGGAAAGAAGGGTGAGAATAGCGCTCCAACTAAAAGGACAGCATCAATGCTATTGAATTGTTCAGGTGGAACCTGCTGAGCGGGGGTATGCACGTTGCTGTACTTCTGACCACACACAAAAAGAAAATTAGTTGATCTAAAAAAAATTATTATTTTTAAAATATGACTTTAAGAATGTAAAAAGGCAGAAAAGTGGGAAGAGGAAACCAATTACTATCACCCAAAGGTACCCCCGGAAAACAGTTTTAAATATCGAATTGCTTTCTAACTGGGTTATAGAGGTTGACGATTGAAGAATAACTTCCATTGACTTATGGTAATAGATAACCCAGATTCAGATGTCAGCTCCACCACTTATTGGCTGTGCCATCTTGGGGCAGTACAGTTAAATGTCCTCTGCCCCCTCAGTGGTGGGTAGGGCCTTTACAAGCCAGATTCTCAACCACTCGATTGAATGGCATCTTGAAAATTCCTAGACTAAAAGGAGACAAGAACAACTGCCTATTGTTCCAGATTTCCCAGCATTTAGAGGTTGGAAGACAGATGACCTGGTGACATGCTTATTTTCCCTTGAAAGCTTTGGAGAATCTTAACTGGGCGGCTGGGAGGTCGGGCCAGTCGGCTGAGGACTCAGGCAGGAAGTCAGGCCCTGCCATCAACAGGTTACAGGACACCCACCAGCAGAGGACACTGGACAGTCAGTCAGCTAACTGCTCCTGACTCCCAGCTTGCTGAGGTGACCCCCGACCAGTGTCACAAGGATGTGACTCAGGGCAGCTGCCCAGGGAAGAATTGTGTGAGGTGGCCCTGGGGACGGCCAGCCCTGCGGCGAATTCTGCATGAGCTGATGCAGAACACACTGTTTCTCAGCTCTTAACATCAGCAAGCAGCTGACGGCTGGAGCATACCTCATCCCGCAGCTGGGTCAGCCCTCTCGGGGATGCTGTGGGAAATCCTAACGTTGTTAAGGAGCTCGAAGAGCCTTTCAAAAGAGAAGGAGCGCTGCCACGTCCCCTGCAGGATCTCCCGCCAAGTACTCCATCCCGGGGAGAAAATGGCTTTCAGGCCCAGCAGAAACCAGAGACAGACATGGGAACGCCCCCTTACTCTCTTTAACATGGAAGATTTGGCATTCTTGTGCTCCTCCCCACAGGGTGTGGCTTGAGGCTTGAGGTCCTTGTCTGCGGAAGAAAGAGAAATAAGGTATGAGGAGGCCTGGGGCTCGTTCACTGGGTGGTAATCATAATGAGAATTGTTCATTAGGCCTAACTAATGTTCATTAGGAGGACTAAAAACTTAAAGGGCTGTGGGGTGGGGGATAAAGGGGAACTGATATCAAGGAGTTCAAGAAGAAAGAATGTGTACTGAAAATGCTAATGGAAGGTACAAATGTGCTTGACACAATGGGTGGATGGTGATAAGAGCTGTATGAGCCCCCGATGAAATGATTTTTTAAAAAAGAAAGGCTAATGGCAGTAATTGTACAACTATGCTGGAGCTAATGGTACTATGGATCGTAATAATTTCTGTAAGAGCTCCTAATAAAAAATGTTCTAAAAAATTCAAAAACCCAAACTCACTGCCTTGGCATCAATGCTGGCTCCTAACAACCTTATAGAGCAGGGTAGAACTGCATTGTGCGTTTCTAAAAAGGTGGGACTTTCTCCTATGGAGTGGCTGGTGATTTTAAATGGCTGACCTTTCTGATCGCAGCCCAATCCCAATCCGTACCCACTACACCACCAGGGCTCCTCTCGGACTACTGATTAGTCACACGGAGATGACTGGTACTACTAGTGCCCACTGGTGCCACTTAGAGAGAGGTCCCTTCTCCTGGGATCCCTCTGGGAGCAGATACCACGTGGGCCAGGGATTCTGAACTGGGTGGAACCTGGTCTTCGCTGAGCTGTGTGACTGCAGGTCAGTGACCCTGCCCACCCCCCTGCCAGTTCCCTCACCAGTAAAGCAGATGGTGCCTTCCACCAGGGGCATTAAGGAGATTTAATGAAGCGGCGGCCCCCCTTCTCCACTCAACGTCAACAAGTTGGGCTTAAGACTCCTTCAGACAAGGACACAAATATCCACCCTCGCCTCACCCCTCCACGTTTTGTTTTCAAAGTCCTATTCAATTGCTTGTAGGATCTAAAATTTTTTTAAAATCCGAACCCCACAAAACCACCACCAAGCTATGAGAAAGGGTTTTTGCCTCTGTCTCCCAGGACGCCACGATTTTTCTCTCTTAAAGCCTTCTTCTCCACTTCGAATCTCTCAATAGCCTTCAAAAATCAAAAAGAAATGGGGCATTAGGGGGTTCCTGGCCAACCTGGATAGAGGAGGGGCAGGGGTGGCGGCCCAGGCCATTTGGCCTGGTGGGTGGGGCACGAAAGCCTATTTTCACCTTGAGTCCCGCTCCTCATGTCTGGGGCAACAGACAGTGAAGCTGGCGGGATATTTAGGCAACAAATGGCACATTAGGCATCCGGGAGAGGCGGAGACTGTGGCAAACGGCAGAGCTCAGGCTCTGATGAAGACAGCCATTGCTCTTCGGCCCCTGCTGACGGAATTCCATGATGGAATGCAGCTTCTTGGGCCACTGAGTACAGAACCCACCGAAGCCCTGGGCAGTCCGTCCAGACTGGCCCACCGTCAGCCAGCGAGGGAGGCAGGGTCTGGAGTGAAGTGGTCTGTGATCTCCATCGAGCATATAGCTGTCATCTTGTGGGACATTCTGCCACCGGAGTGAGGACACTGGGCTTGCAAGTCCTTGCCCATGGGAGCCGTCTGTGGGGCTCACCCAACCATGCCTGGCATCGTCAGTAGCAGCTTATGGGCTGAATGGTGTGGCTTTGTGGCTCTCAGTTTCGAACATATTTTAGAGTGTTCTGAACGTATGCCTCATGCATCTTAAATGCAATTAAAAGGCAAAACCAAATACATGCCTGTGGCCCAATCCTAAGGTGGTCAAAAGGACACTTCTGTGGGCTCCCTGCTGGCCATCGTCCACCTTGTGGGAGTGCTGCTACACAACTGCTCAGGGCTGAACCTGTTCACCTGTCTCCAACACGTGGATGGGGTGTGTGTGTGAGAATGATTGGAGGGTTGTGTTTGTTTTGTTTGCTATGTTTCCTACAAGTGAATCAAAGATCTCGACTGTGTGAACGGGCTTTTACATAACCGGAGTGTCCCCAGGGCACTGTCACACGTTGATGAATGAGCCCAAGGGTGAGGAGAAAACGTTGCTCAATTGGACCAACAGGCTCCTGGCCCTTCCGCATGCCTCAGGTCAGCCCCAGCTCCCAGCACTCACCGGGAGGCTGGCCACTGGGTTGGAGGTCAGCTCAACTTCAGTAATCCTTTGGTTCACCTGGTCCATGGAGCCAATGATGCAGGCTGGGAGGTGGGCTGGCTAAGGAGGCTCTCTGGATGATGATTACACAGAGGGGTGGGGGTGTCTTCCCAGGAGGCCCCCTCACCCCCGCCACTACTACCCTCCCTTTTTGCACCCTCTCACTACCCAATCGCGTCCTTGGCAGATAGCCACGTTTCTTTGATCCCTTTTGACACGAGTCACTTTGCCAATGAACGATTAGATCTAGTCACACGACAGGCACTCTGCTGGGTGATGTCCGGCTAGCCCAAAGGTTGGTAGCTAGCACCCCCACCCCCCTCCCGCCCCCAAGGCTCCTTGGGGAAAAAGGCCTAGTGGCCTGCTCCCACAAAGACCATAGATCAATAATACATCGAACGGTGTCGGTTGGAAAAAGAAAGAAAGACAATTTAGGCAGGTCAGTCAAACAAAAAACGGAACAAAATAGATGACCGTTGCATTTCTTTCTGTCTTAGCCTCAACTGGTCGAGGGCAAACCCTTTGCAACAGCCTGCAAACCCTCTTTCCCTTCCTATGAAGCAGGGGTCAGCCTCGCTGCGTTACTTTCAAGGGGTCTTATGACCCAAAGGCTACTGGATAAATGAAGATGAGGAGGGGCGTGGCCTGTCCTAGACAGTGAAATGGAGCAGACAGGCTGAGGTGCATGTGGGATGAAGACGCAAAGGGAGGACTTTTGGTCATGGCCCAGCAAGGAGCTCTGAAGCCAACCCTGATGTGATCGCCACTTTCAGAGAGACCAGAGGAGGGTTCCTGAGAGACCAGAGACCTGGCGGGACGTGCAGTCGTGACCTCGGGGTGGCTGGCAGCTGGGTGACTGTCAAGCACTGGGCTCTGGGTGAGGGGGAAAGGTCCCGGTGTCGGGTATAAGTGAGCCCAGTCTCTGTTGGGTGGGTTCTAAGGTCCTTCGGAGATGAAGCCGTGGGTCCTGAGCATACAAATGAGGGTAAGAGGTGCGATGCAGCTCAATGGAGCCAGGGCAGGAAGAAGGTGGCAGACCTTGGACAACGCAGAGAGGAGCAAACTCTTGGCCCAGGAGGAGGGGCTGGCAGGCGAGAAGAGATGAGGTCAACTATAGTCCCACAAACCAAGAAGGGTTGGGCCTGCAGCGATCTTGTCTGAAGATAGAGGGCTCAAGTGTGCCTTTCTACTCACTGCCTACAGAATTCTCTGACAGGTAGGCAAAAAGGAGACAATTAGAAAGAGGTGCTCCTTTCTCTTTGGCTTAGTCTTTCGATAAACACTCCCAATACATCTTCCTTTGGGGCTCGGATTGTTTCAGGAAAGCAAACTCAAATGGAACTTTCCAGACTCTCAGGACATTTTTAGAGGGCAGATAGGGGCTTACACAAGACAAAAACACGTTCATGGACGTATAAGGGATGGGTTAGTGCATTCATGTGGCCGCTCACTCACTCACGCACTGCCACCTCATCAATGCTGACTCACTGCCACCTCCTGTGGGTTTCTGTTCACAGGAGTGGAAAGCCTAGTCTTTCTCTCACGGAGCTGCTGGCAGTTTGGAACTGCCCACCATTCAGATGGAAGCCCAACTCATGACCACTACCCCACCAGGGCTACATCTGTGGCCAACAGGAGATGCCAGTGGTTAATGCCCTTGGTGGCCACCAGAAAGGCTGCAGGTTCAAGTGCACTCAGAGGCCCCTGGGAAGAAAGGCCCGGTGACCTACTTCCCCAAACCAGCCCTTGAAAACCCCGTGAAGCACAGTTCTACTCTGCCACACCGGAGCAGAAGAGGCCTTGGGGGAAAAGGACAGGAGAGCTTAAGCTTGGCTGCCCCTTATGACATGACTCAGGTTTAGAGTAGTGGTCTCAGTGGCGGGGGGTGGGGGGTAACACCAAAAGGATACTGGGTGGGTTGTCTTCCAAATCCTTCCTGATGGCATTCTTCATTGCTTTCAGCACATCCTCAGAGACAGCCAGGTCCTCCTCCAATGGGATCATTGGAAAGGCAGCGATATTGATGGCATCCATCCTCCTGAAGCCAGCCACTGTCCAGCTTCTTGTCAACTGTCAAACAAGAGAGTCCCCTTTAAAAGACATCTCCTTTCCCACTCCCACCCTGCTCACTCAGTCGGCCTCCTGAGGATCACAAATAACATAGAACCTTCTTGGGAAACATGAGCCACAAGAACCCCACCACTGCCCCCTGCTGGGTAGGGCTGAAGGCACGCGAGGCAGATGCTACGTGCTAGGTGGGGGATTAGAACCTTTGTACATGTCAAGGTATCTTCAAGGTTCTTTCTAACCTGCAAATGCCTTATTCTAAAACCAAGCTCACTGCCATTCAGTCAATTCTGACCCAGAGCGACCTGATAGGGCAGGGCAGAACGACCCCGTTGAGTTTTCAAGGCTGTCAATCTTGATGGGAGCAGGCAGACTTATCTTTCTACTGCAGAGCGGATGGTGGGTTCAAACTGCTGACCTGGTGGCGAACAGTCCAGTGACTGACTCACTACACCACCAGAGCTCTTTGCTAATGCCCAGATGGGTGAAAATCCCCCTAGGAAAGCACTACAGGACAAATACTATAGGAACCCACTTATATGTAATCGCTAGAACAGGCAAATGCACAGAGCAAAGCTGATGAGTGGTCCCCAGGGGCTGGCGTGGGAGGAAAACAGATTATTGCTCTAGGAGTTAATGAGTTTCTGTCTGGAGTGATGAAAAACTTCTGGAAACATGGAGCGCTGTTGGTTGCACACAGGATGGATCTAATTAATATCATTGAACTGTGAGCTTAAAAATGGTTTAAATAGAAACTTTTATGCCATATATGTTAAGAATGCAATTTTAAGGTGGTTTTTTTCTTTCTTTCTTTTAATGAGAAAAGAGTACTGAAGAGGGGCAGGCTCTAGACAGCCTGGTAAGTCAGTTTCCAAACTAGAAATGAAATCAAATCTCTCTGCCTTTCTGTGCCTCAAATGTAAATTAAGAAATTTGGGTTAAGGGACCTCAATACCCCTTTCGGGGGGTGGGGGGTGGTGGATAATAGGTGGATCCGTGGGAGTTTGATTCCAAGTTCGATTCCCAGCCAATGTACTTCAAGCTCAGGCTCCACCTTTTGTCAGTAAAGGCTTGTGTGTGGCTGTGAAGCTGGATAAGCTCAGCAGAGCTTCCAGACGAAGATGGATGAGGCAGAAAGGCCGGGTAACCTACTTCTGAAAACCAGCCCAAGGGGATCCTGGGCAGCATGCCAGTTCGAATGCCTGGCCAGTGTTTCCTTGCATTGTGCCAGGGGTCCCCAGGAGCGGAGGGCTGACTCGTTAGCAGCTGACCACCACAAGAAGGCTCTTTTTGGCTCTTAGAGACAAGGATTCCATGACTGGGTCCAATTCCTGAGCCTGAAGCTCCTGGTGGACCAGTCGTGTGTGGTCGTCTTCAGAAAACAGGCCCCATCAAGCCTCCTCTTCCCTGGTTTAGAACGCGCTGCTCCGACTACCTTCCTGGGGTCTTGCTGATGGGCAGGGAGCATCGCCACTGCTGGGCCCTCTATGTCCATAGCCAGCAGAGGGGCACAGGCCTTGTGACAGTGCAGCAAAGACTTAGGCCTTGCCCTTAAGAAGCTCATAAATGAGAGAGAGAGAGAGAGAGAATGAGAGAGAGAGAGAGAGAGAGAGCAAGCGCAGAACTGGGCGGCAAGCGAGCTGCCTTTTCAATGCTCGCCTTCCCTCTTCTTTGACTTATACCCTCTATTCACCCCTCTTCTCCCACATGCCTGCCCCACTAAACTTCTCCCTGGTGCCTAATTCTGCCATGCCCTGTACACTCTATGCCACTGCGCCAGTTGCTCCTTCTGCTGTGACTGCCCTGCTTCACGACCTCCCCCAGCCCCCCACCGCCCCTGAGACACTTCGAGTCAACTCTCAGCCCCAGTGAGAAGTCTTTGGGAAAGTTCTTTTGACTTTCTCCCAGCCATTGGTCCTCCTCGCCCTCGGTGCAAGTCTAGGATTCTTTCATCTCTCTATCCCTGCGCATACAACACTAAATTGCAACTCTTGGCTCCTCTGCCCGTATATCCACCACCTGTCTCTCAGTTTGTTGTACCGTGGTGGCCTGTGTGTTGCTATGATATTGGAAGCTATGCCGCTGGTATTTCAAATACCAGCAGGGTCACCCAAAGTGAACGGGTTTCGGCGGCACTTCCAGACCAAGAACGGACTGTCTACTTCTGAGGAATTAGCCACATAAAACCTTACGGACAGCAGTGGAACACTGTCAGATACTGAGAACTTCATGAACGGCAGCGGGACATTGTAGCTATCCTGCCAGATGAGCCCCACAGGTTGGAAGGCACTCAAAATACGACTGAGGAAGAGCTGCCACCTCAAAGTAGAGCCCGCCATAATGACACAGATAAAGCCTCTGGGAGGAAAGCTTTGGGGAGCTTCGTTTTCAATGGGGCACAACTCAAAACGAGAAGAAAGAGCTGCAAACACCCATGAATAATTGGAGCTTGGAATGTACAAAGTATGAAGCTAGGGAAATTGGAAAACATCAAAAATGAAATGTACCCCATAACTATCAATATCCTAGGCACTGGTGAGCTGACATGGACTGGTATTGGCCATTTCGAACCAGACAGTCATATGGTTTACTCTGCTGGGAAGGGCACCTTCAAGAGGAGTGGCATCAGATCCGTCCTCAAACAGGACCTTTCAAGGTCTACCTAGCTACTCTAAAAGCCCTTTGGACTTCGTTTCCAAAGCACCCCTTCAATAACCTCACCCTTTCTCGTCAACCCTTAAAATAAAATAAAAAATTTAAGATCTATTGTGACGTACAATGCTTTCTGTCGTAGGTTAATATCTGTGGTAGGATAATATCTCTATGTATACAATCCAGTCAATACAGCTATTACTCAAATTTATGCACCAACCACTAAAGTTAGTTATGAAGAAATTGAAGGTTTCTACCAAAGACTTCAGTCGGAAATTGAACAAACATGCAATCCACATTGATTGCATTGATAATGATTGGCAACTGGAATGCAAAAGTTGGAAACAAGAAGCAGCAGCAGTTGGAAAATACGGCCGTGGTGAGAGATAAGAAGCTGGAGATTGCATGATCGCATTTTTCAAGACCAACGACTTGCTCATAGCAAACAGCTTTTTTCTACAACACGAAAGGTGACACATGGGCTTCTCTAGACGGAATACACAGGACTCAAATGGACTGTATCTGTGGGAAGAGATGACAGAGAAGCCCCTTAGCAACAGCTAAAACCAGGCCAGGAGCTGACTGTAGAGCAGACCATCAATTGCTCATGTGTTAGCTCAGGTGGAAGGTGAAGAAAATCAAAACAAGTCCACAGAGCCAAAACACAGCTGAGTATATCCTACCTGAATTTCAAGAACTCCTCAAGAACAGATTTGATGCACTGAACACTAAGGACAGAAGATCCGATGAGCTATGGGAGGACATCAAGAACGTCAGACATGAAGAAAATAAAAGGCCATTAAAAAGACAGGAAAGAAAGAAAAAAGCAAAATGAATGTCAGAAGAGACTCTGAAAGTTGCTCTGAGTCGTCGAGCAGCTAAGGCAAATGGAAGAAATGAAGCCAAAGCGCTGAACAGAACATTTCAAAGGGCAGCTCAACAAGACAAAGTCAAGTCCTATCATGAAATGGGCAAGAAGCTAGAGTTAGAAAAACAAAAAGGAAGAACACATTCAGCATATTTTAAACGGAAAGAACTGGAGAAAAGAAATTCAAGCTTTGAGTTGCAATATTGAAAGATTCTATGAGCAAAATACTGAATGATTCAGGAAGAACCAAAAAAAAAAAAAAAGTCAACTTTTAACCATTTCAAGAAGTAACATATGAGCAAGAACCAATGGTACTGAAGGAAGAAGTTCAAACTACAACAGAAGGCATCAGGCAAAAATAAAGCTCCAGGAATTGATGGAATACCAACTGAAATGTTTCAACAAGCTGATAAGGCACTGGAAGTGTTAGATCTCTCGAGGGAGAGATACCTTGGTCCTCGGCTGCATTTGTGATCCAAGTGAGTACAGAGTCCACAGCACAGTTACGGGACAGTGGCCTGGCCGCTCCACACCACAGCCCAGCTGTAGAGCCCAAAGCAAAACCTTTGGCTTTTCAGAGGCCCTGTTGGGAGGCGTTAACAATACTGGTCGACCCTATTGGCTGAATCAAATTCACCTGGCTTAGATGGGCCAATCCAGGTGTAACACCCACCTAGGTGTACCACCCCTTCAAGGCCACCCCTTCAAGTCCAGAAGCTCCAACCTCTGAGCATGCGTCATGGACGCCCCAGTCCCTTATGTTAGCTACCTAACATGTCCCCCTGAAGAGATACGGACTCAAATCTTTGGGGTACTGGGTGACGACATCGCTAACTACTTCCTGCTGGCAAAAGGGGCAAAGTGGGACTTTGGGTCCATACCCTTCCTGACTTTCCGAGTAGCTTCTAGGGAGGCAGCCCGAGGTGAGGGGCCCTGCCGGTGCCTGTGTAAACTTGAAACTTCTTCTAACTCTCATAAAACTCACTTGGATCACAAACCAGGCTTCTGCGTGAATTCTTTCGCACGTGGAGCCAAGGACAGAGGTACATCTCTCCCCAGAGAGATCTAACATAATCCCTCACTCACTATGCTAGGAAATTTGGAAGACAGCTACCTGGCTGCCTCTACTTCTGGAAGAGATCCATATGTGTACCCACTACAAAGAAAAGTGACATAACAGAATGCTCACATTAAAGAGCAATATCATTGATATCACATGCAAGTAAAATTTCGCTGAAGATCATCCAACAGCAGTTGCAGCTGGACATTGACAGGGAACTTCCAGAAATTCAGACTGGATTCAGTAGAAGACGTGGAACAAAGGTTATTATTGCTGAAACAGATGGGTCTTGGCTGAAAGCAGAGACTACCAAAAAGATGTTTACTTGTGCTTCACTGACTACATATGCATGGATTATAACAAGTTATGGATAGCTTTGTCAAGAATGGCAATTCCAGAAAACTTCATGTGCTCATGCAGAATTTGTACATGGATCAAGTGGCATTCATGTGAACAGAATAAGGGACTACTGCATGGTTTAAAATCAGGAAAGGTGTGTGTCAGGGTTGTACCCTCTCACCACACTTAGTCAATCTGTAGGCTGAGCAAATCGTTAAGAAAAGATGGATTATATAAAGAAGAATGTGGCCTCAGGATTAGAGAAAGATTTATTAATAACTCATGTTAATGCAGGTGGTTTCACGTTGGGCTGTGATCCCAATGGTTGGCAGTTTGAAACCACCAGCAGCTCCAAGGGAGAAAGATTGAGCTTTCTACTCCAGTAAATAGTTACAGTCTTGGAAACCCACACGAGGTCTCTAGGTACCAACATTGACTTGATGGTAGTGAGTTGGTTGGTTGGCTGGTTGGTTATGCAGATGACACAATCTTGCTTGCTAAGAGCGAGGTCTTGAAGCACTTGCTGATGAAGATCAAGGATTGCAGCCTTCAGTATGGATTACAACTTAAAGTAAAAAAAAAATCCTTACAATTGAACCAACAGGTAGTATCGTAATGAACAGAAGAAACGCTGAAATTGTCAAGGATTTCGTCTTGCTTGAATCCACAATCAATGCTCATGAAAGCAGAGTTAAGATCAAAAGTCACCTTGCGTTGGCTAAATCTGCTGTACAGGACGTCTTTAACGTGTTTAAAAGCCAGGATGTTGCATTGAAGACTAAGGTACGGCTAAGCCAAACCAAGATGGCCTCCTATGCATGTGAAAGTTGGACACTGAATAAAGAAGACTAAAGAAGAATCGATGCATTTGAATTATGGTGCTTCTGAAGAATATTTCATGAACTGCCTGAAAAAACAAACAAATCCGTCTTGGAAGAAGGACGTCAGAATGCCCCTTAGAGGGAAATATGGCAAGACTTTGTCTCACATACTTTGGATATGTTGTCAGGAGAGACCAGTCCTCCCTGGAGGACTGCTTGGTAAAGCAGAGGGGCATCAAAAAAGAGGAAGACCCTCTGCAAGATGGACTGATGGTCGCTGCAAGAAGGGGCTCAAAGATCATTGCAATTGGGAAGATGGAGCAGGACCAGGCAGTGTTTCACTGTGCTGTACACAGGGTTGCCATGAGTCAGAACTGATTCAACAGCGTCTATCGACATGTCCAAATACCAGCCAATGAAAGATCTGTGGATCATAAGACTTTGCTCACAGGACCAAGCCCTGCGTGAGTTTTCTTGTGCAGGGGAGTTGCCATAAACTAAGGGCTAACTCATTGGAAACTAACTACATCTTTATCCACTTGGCAAAATATTCCTTAAGAAGTAGGCCCACCTACTTCTTCATGCTCACCCTCATGAAAAGATCACTGAAGATATGGGTGCTACAGCAAAGTGTGGTGAAGAAACCAGATGGTGCCCAGCTATCAGAAAGAATCGTGTCTGGCGTCTTAAAGGCTTGTCTTCAAACAAGCAGTCAGCTAAGTGAGGCATCAACTAAGTCCACATGGAAGTAGCACACTAGCCTGTGTGATCCAAAGATGATAAATAATAAAATCCAACACCCCCCCACCCCCCCACAAGGAGGGAATGGTATTTGAGCTTAAATTATGGACACCCAATTTGCAGAAGGCAACGGATGACAGTGAGTGCGAACCCAAAATCCACTGCAGGGTCCCTACATGGATGAAGCCTCTGATGAATCCACTTTGACCACAGCTGAGGGATGTGAATAGACTTGCTATCAGACAGAGACTATCGTAAACTCCATCACGGCAGAGGTCATTAGGTTAAAATGTGATATCTGATCATTTGATCTTCCTTTTGAGCCATTTTAAATATGTTCTAGCTTTTTTTCTCCATTGGGGTTTTTCCCTCTGGTTTATTTCTGTTCTCTTTTTTGTTGTTGTTAGGTTTTCCAGTTATATCAAGGCTGGGGCGGGTGAAGATGTAGAGGCAGTAACTGGATTAGGGTTTTTATTGGAGGCACAGTGGGGAGGGGGCTGGAGGGGAATGGGGAGCTAATAATGAGTACACGAAGGTAAAACATGCTTGGGAACTGACTGTAGAACTCATAAATATGACTGAACTATGGAAGTGTATGCTATGTGAACCATATTCTTAATAAAATTATATTTAAAAAGAAAAAAAGGAAGTAGGTTCACGCATTATTTGACATGCCTACTGGCACTGCTGAGAAGTGCTGCAGACAAATGAACGGTCTCCTTCACATTTCTGGTCCTGCCTTGTAACCTACTAACTTCCCTAACCAACCCCTAAAATCTTGAGTATTGTGTGGGAGTTCTGTGTGGCCATGGCAACAGACCATGGAACTCTGCAGGAAAGTGGAGTGCTGTGGAAGGGCGCTGGGTATCAGAATAGGGTCAAGAAAGTTGGAGCATGGATGTATGTCTGACCTCAGAGGAATCAGCCTTGCGCTGGTGTGGAATCTGATTCCCCTTCCCGCAACTGAAGCAAGTGGGGAAGGTCAGACAGGGCCTTCACCTTTCCTCCTCCAGAAATGATTCCCAGCCAATGGCCCCGCCAGGATAGCCACTACCTGACAGCGGAAGCTTGTTGCTCAACAGGTTCAACGGAGCTTCCAGACTAAGACAGACTAGGAAGAAAGGTATAACGATCTACTTCCCAAAACAGGGCCAATGAAAACGCAATGGGTCATCACAATCTGATCCATAATCAGCCATGAAAATGGTAGAGGACCAGGCAGCGTTTCATTCCGTGGGGTAACCGTGACCTCGAGGCCGAGTTGGAAGTTGTTAACGTCAACAACAGGAAATAAAGAAAGAGCCTTAGGGAGTTAACCAAAGGGTAGAGGCAATTCCGGAAGGGAGTGAGGCTGGAGAGGTAAGAAGAGGCTAGACCTGTGCCCTCTGACAGTACAAATGAATCCTTGGGATTTGGTGTGATCAAATTTTTCATTTTAATTAGTTTGACTTGAAAAATCAAAGCAGTGTAAAATTTAAAATATTGATGACAGGTTGAAATGCTACTGTTTTGGCACACTGAGTGAAATATAATATTCAAATTAACTTTTCATCTTTTTTTTCTTGCTCTTTAAAATGGGACTCCCAAAAAACTGCCAATTACATGTAGCCCGTGCTATGTTTCCATGGCTCCTGCGGGGCTGGGCGGCAGCTTGTGGTTAGGAACTCGCGACGCTCCCCTTCACAAAGCCGGGTGTTGTACTTGCGCGGGCACCAGGGGCCTCGGGTTCTGTGGCTCTTGGGAGGATGACCTGGTACGCCCACGCCCCCAAAAATCACACCCCGTAGCATCAGATCTATTGCGAGGACTCATAGAGAACCCAGCATTTCCGAGGCCTTGTGGTCAGCGGTCCAGGGCGTCAACCCCGAGGCCACGTCCTCGTGCACCAAGTGGGCACTGGATGGTACTCCTTGAACGACCGTGTGCGGGACGCCGTTTCTGCAAGGATCAAACACACTGGTGGCTTCGAGCAGCTGGGAGTCGATCGAGGGGTTCTCGGCTGTTTGCCCACCGTGCACCGTGAAGGGCCTGGAGGGGGTCCCCCGCCCGCTAGAACGTCGGTCTTACCTGAAGGCATGGGGGGATTCCGACGACCAGGGCCCCCGTTCAAGCGCAGGTCCCTCAGGGGGCCCCGCAAACTTCTGGAAAGGGGCCCAGTGTCCTTTGCGGTGGGGTTGGACAGAAGCGGGAGGAGAGGTGTTGGGGAGAGGCCCATTTTGCCACTGTTGAGTCCCAGGTTCTCCTGGCAACGCCGGGCGGACCCCCAAGATCACGGTCCTCGGCACAATGCGGCGGCCAGCGCACAGCGTGGGGGGAGGGGGGCGGGGGGCGGCGGGACGCCGTTACCACGGAGACGGGCCGCCCGCAGCGGACCGAGACGAGACCAATGGATTTGTGGGGTGCACGAAGAGCGGTCCCAGTGCCCACTGGCAACGTGGGGCACGTAAGTGACTCGCGAAGGCATTTCTGGGGGGGGCTCCGTTTAACGTGCCTAGCGGCGCCTGCGAGAGCTCCCGGGGCCCCGCGTGGGCGCGCGTTGGGGGGACCCCGCCGCACCGAGAACCCCCGCGGTCCGCGGTGGGACAGCGCGGAGCGATGCTGCGCATGCGCGCGGCGGGCGGGCGGCAGCGGCGGAGCCGCGGAACCGCGGGCCGGAGCGGCGACCGGGGACCTGGGCTGTGTCCTTGCGGGAGATCTCCGCAGGGCTGTGACCTTGGCTTCTGGGACCGCGCCAGGTACGTCTCAGCTCGGCGCTGTGGGTCGGCGAGGCCCGAGAGGGGAAAGGGCGGGGGGAGCCCCGGCCTCTCCCCGAGGAGGGTGGAAGGCACGTTCCTCAGTTTACCCAGGGCGTCTACCCAGCTGGAGGGTTCAGGGTGCTCGAGGAGGGGGTGGAAGCCGGGCCCCGGCACCTCGCTTTCTCCTCGAAGGTGAATCGGGATGCTGATTTCTCCCTGTGGACCTGCGAGGAGGACAATTGATAGGGCACCGCTGTGTACATCCGTTCTTGGGCGCCTGACCGCCCCGGGATGCGTGTTCTTAGCCGGTCTTAACTTGGAGAGTTTGAGGAAAATCAGATTTCTCCTTGCCCAGCCTGTTAACATTAAAAAACGGGGGATCGTTTTGTGGGCCTCTGCAAACGGTCAAACATCACTGTCCCTTCTAATTGTCATCATCAGAGGACAGGGAGACCTTCCCAGTGCTGATGGGTCAATTCCAACTCACAGCAATGCTATGGACCATACGGAGGAGAACTGGCCTTCTGGGTTTCCGAGGCTGTACGTCTTGTCTTTCTGCCCTGCAGTAGTGATGAGTTCAAACTGCTGATCTGTGGCTAGCACCCAACCGTGACCCACTAGCCACCAGCCCGTCTTATCTTAGGCAGACACCCAGGTTGACTCTCATTCTGTCAACGTCCCCTGGTGTGATTTGGGTCAAGTTAGTTAAAGTTTCTAAGCTTCTGTTTTCTAATGTGCAGGAGCTATACTTACCTGACCCCTCAATGGTTGTGGGGATCAAATGACCCAGATTTTTATCAACACTTAAGTACTCAAGCACATAAAGGAGCTAGAATGTAGGTTAAGTGTTGGCCTGCTAACCACAAGGTAAACAGTTCAAACCCACTATCTGCTCCAAGGGAGAAAGATGAGGCTGTCTGCTCCAGTAGAGACTAACAGTCTCAGAAAGTCTGCATAGGATCACTAGGAGACAGAAATGATTAAATGGCAGTGAGTCGGATTGGTTTGGTAATGTCCCCAGATGCAGGGAGGGACAAGGGCTGTTTTTAACTATTTTGTTTTGTTTTGATCACTCATGGTCATTATGAGTCAGAACTTACTTCGTGGCACCTATCAACACACTTGTACATATTATCATAACAAAGTCATGAAGTTTGGATGTATTTTATCATTCTGAAACATTAGGCTTGAGCCTCCTGGGATATGGGCAGTCTTGGTGGTACAAGAATTAATACTCTGCTGCTAACCAACAGGCTGGCCATTGAAATGAACCTAATGGCCGCTCAGCTCCCATAGAGAAGAGACTGCAGCCTAGAAATTCCAGAAGGGTAGTTTTCTATCACACGAGGTGGCTCTCGCTTGGAATAGACTCAATAGGACTTAATAACAGGGTTTGATGTTAGGCTTTGTTTGGATGGATGGATGGATGGATGGATGGATGG